GAGGGGAGGGGGGATGGGGGTGGGGAGAGTTGAGGGGTTGGTTTTTGAGCATGGTTTCATGAGGTTGATGTTTGTGGGTTTGGTTGGGTTTTGGAGATGTTCAGTTGACTGTCTACGGCAGCCGATCCATGATATATCAAGGAATGTTTCAGACGATAAAGCTACTGTTCACCAAAGCCCCTCTTGCTATGACTTCACCTTAATCGAAGTAATGTTTGTCTGTTCTGATGTTGCTTCAAGCAAGCTATAAATGGATACCGGCCACGTGGGGTCGGTATTGAATGTGATCCATTCCCATCCTTGTCCTTGGGATATCGGCTGATCCCGCAGTTATCGTCAGATACAGTTATCCACCCGGGTTCTTTCCATATCAGTTCACCACAACGCGAAAGAGAAGAAAAAGAAAGAAACAAAACAATAACTTTAGCTGCGGTTACACAGATGCGAGGAGAGCAAGACCGTCGACCCCCTCGACAAAGCAAGCTTGCCACAGTTCCATTAACGAGTTTCACCTCCCACCGCGCGAGCGAGCGAGCGGGCGTGCGGGCGGGCAGACAAGAATCAAGCCCTGTCTCGAGCTGGAGACACAGACAGCCGTTGACTATCAGACCAGGGGTTGGAAGAGGGCGAGAGATCAGTCGGATCGGTCGACGTTCTCGTCCCTTTTCTCGGCTACCTAACACAGTAGGAGCTGACCCAGCATCTTCTCTTTGGTGCAGAACAACCACACTGCATGCATCGTCTTCTGTGCCCGGTTCAGAACAGTCCGCAGCCCAACATCTTATCTTCAATTCAACCGACCCTCTAGAGGGATGGAGAGTTAGGTAGGTAGGTAGGTGACGAGCAGCAGCAGCAGCAGCGCTTCCGAACGAGGGAGGGAAAGCTCAACAGACACACTCTTTTTTTGTCTTGGGAGTGTGACAGGTTTTGACCCGCTAGACAAGGTCGCAAGTCTTTTTGTGGATTGACCAGGTCCCATCCAACATTTCAACACTCGGACAAAGAAATATCATGTTTTCTTGACCAAATTCTTGACCAAACGGTAAAGCGGCACCCCTGGCTTGGTTGAGAGGTTGCTTGAGTATTCTTGTGCCTGAAACTGTATAACATACGGATTATCGTAAACACTTTGCTCGGTTCTCATCTCAAACTAGCCTTTCGACTTCATCTCTACATCTATTCGTCTTTGAGAACCTGGAAGAAATTGAATCTTACGAGATAAAAGTCAGTAAGCAATTAAGTAATCTGCCACTCAACAACCCCCCGCCCCCCCATGACACCTCAAACCACCCCTCACACAGTTATCACCTGAATCACCACCATATTGACTCAAAATATATCATTTCAACCATCTCCCCGCCTCTTCATAACTATCCAGCTACGCATACTCAAACAAACTCATCCGCTTCCACTCCAAGAAAAATACCTCACACCAACAGCACAATGCAAGTAATCAGCTATATATACCAATACCACCACCCCAAGAACAAGCCCTGATATCACTCAGCTGTAGAAATCCCATCTCCTACCCACCAAAATCCTCCCCAATCCAGCATCCAGAAACGCCTTGTTGTGGAAAGTGTTTATTCTATCCATTCCATTGTAATCCCCTCTCCCGGCCTCTAGTTGTAAAAAAGAATAGGCCACCTCCCACCAAGAGTATCTCCAACAAAAGAATGCCTTGCAATCAGCAACGCCCCGAATAATGATGATCAACTCAAGAAAAGTCCAGCAGTCCAGTAAAAAATAATAATAAAAAAAGCGACAAAGAAAACATGATTCTCGGTAAGACAATGCATGAAGCAAAAATGATATATGCCAGAAACGCAACCGAAAAAAGAAAGAAAAAATGCAAAAGGGTATCTCGCCGCCACGTCCTCCACCATTCCCATATGCCACCGGTCTCAAGCAGACCCAGGCTCCTCACAAAGCACAGCATCCGTAAACGTCCCCCCCCTGCTCCCCTCCGAACTCGACGAGCCTTGCCCAGAGGTCCTCGGCCTGTCCCTAACAAAAGAATCCTTCTCCTCCTCGCTGAGCCGCAGTCGAAGCTTCTCGTCCAGCATGCTGACCAATCGCTCACTATACTGGTCCAGTAGGCCGCTCAGCATCGACTCGCTGACTGGCTTGTGCTCGTCCGGCTCGCGGCTGCTCCTGCTCCTGATCGCCCGTTCCCCGAGCGCCGCCGCCGTAAGCCGGAGTTCGGCGTCGAGTTCAGAGAGAACATCACTGTTGATGGAATCGCTCGAGTTTAGTTTCTTGCGGTAGGCCCGTAGTTGACGGCAGGTTTGCTCGGTGGCCATGCTGAGGCTGCCAAAGCCATACCCGCTCCGCATATTTTGGTTGGACTTCTTCTTGGACTTGATGCTCGCCGTCGGCGTCATGTTCAAGGCCGGGAGAGATGGTCGGCGAAACATCCGCGCCCTGTTCTTGGGGCTATCGGGTGGTGGAGGAGGGCTATCTGATCTGCTGCCTCCTGAAGAGGCTCGCCGAGAGGGAGTCTCTTCTGCTACCCCGCTCCCCGGGCTGAGTTGTTGCTTTTCGGTGTTGGGCGTCCTCGCCGTGTTTGTCGTCACATGGAACTTACTAGCCCGCCGATGTGAAGCACGGGGCGGTGATCTACGCCCGCCAGGGGACGTTGTTGGCCGTTGAAACTCGGCTAATTCTGCTTTCGAGAGAACCTTTCGTAACGGCGGTCTGGTGGATGTCGAGATGTTCTTGTCGGGTGACGGATCGCGAGTTCGTGACCCGCCAGCGACGGGATCTTGAAAGTCAAGCGTCCAGATCATAATGGTACCATCCTCGCCCACACTGACGACTCTCTTTCCACCTTCATCACCGTCGATCAAAACGACACCATTGATAGCCTCGGTGTGGCCCCATTCGCGGTCCAAAAACAACCCAGACTGAGCGTCGTATATCCGCACCGATTTGTCCGTGTTGGAGATACCCAGCAAGAACGACAGATCACCATTTCCAAGCTGGCCAAATGTGAGTGATTCCAAAACGACAGATTCCAGTCCCGCCTCATCGTTGCACTTGAAAGACCCAAGCAGCCGCCCAGTTGTGAAATCATAATGGCAGACCGAGCGGTCCAGCAAAGCGACATAGATCGCCTTCTCATCAGGTGTCACCGTCATGGATGACGGAGAAGCCTTTAGTGAAACGACCTTGGAGGGTATCGCGGCCATAGCATCCGGCTCGTTCTCCTTGGTGACCAAATCGTGTATCTGAATCGTTCGATCCAGGGAGCACGTCATGA